ATTTTTTAAGAAAAAAAAAAAAAAAAAAAAAAATCACAACTTTTTAAAGCTCCTGCCCTCAGACTGTAACTCAATATTGATTAAAATATGCAAGAAAATCTTTAAGTTCAATATATTTGACAGATATATAAAATAAAGCACCAAAGTCATTCTTTGCACATTTCTATTAATAATCCCCTTTGAAAGCTCATGTCTGGAAACAATGAAGGAGTCATAAGTCAAGTTCAGATCCCAGAGGTTTCTATTTTATTGGTTTCGCATCACAAACTGTGAACGAGCTCAAGATACAGAGTTCAATGACTTACGAGAAGTGCGACTTTAAACAGCGAAGCACGGTAGAGTCAAACAAGCTAAGAGGTTTTTCTGCTTAAATAACTGGACACACAGGTTGACCAGTCAGTCAAACAACATAAAATAGAGTCTGAAGGCCTATGAGGAAATAAACGCTCATACAGCAAAAAAAGGAAAAGATGGACAAAGTATTTAGCTGCTCTCTTTGCCAAGTGTGAGCTTGTCGAACATGTACTCGGCCATGCCGTTCTGGGGGGCGCCCATGCGGCGCAGGTTGGTCACCCAGTCGCCCAGTTCTTTGATGGACTTCACCTGCTCGTCCAAGTAGTGCGTCTCAATTAAATCGCACATCTGTAAGAAACAAGAAGAATGAGTTGGGAATAGGTTTTGTTTGTTAATGAGATTGCATTCGTATCAGTGGCTGCACACTCACATGAGGGTCGTTGTGCTGAGAGGCCAGCTTATGCAGCTCCAGGAGGGAGTGATTGACGCTCTTCTCCAGCTGCAGGGCGCATTCGAGAGCTTCCACACCGCTTCCCCACTCATCCTTCTCTGGTTTCTGTCAAACACAAAAGTTAATAATAACAACCCTTCTTCCAGTCCATCCCATGTTGTCCTCTCACATCAAAAACAACATATTTGTTTAGAACCGTTTTTGCTTGTACATGGTGCTTGATCGGAGCATATTTCTCTCCCGATTCAGACGAGACTATTTTACTGGAGAAATAAATATTGTGGATAGTTATTGTGCACTCATATTTTAGATGGAAACTAAAACACTGCACTGTAGTGGATTATTGTGATGTTTTTATCAGCTGTTTGGACTCTCATT